AACAGGACGCAACTACCATATGCAATGACCCTTTCAACCCCACCCTTCATCTGAGACAGGACAGCCTCTATACCTGGGTCACTGGGCTCCATGTCTAAGATAAAGGGCAGGGAGAAATCAGGATAGGGCAGGGAGAAATCAGGATAAGACAAGGGAGAGGCGATCGCATAGCATAATAAATGCTACCTCCTCCTCCTCCCACCATTTGAACTTCTGTTCTTTAGCAGTCAAAGCATGCAAGGGGTTTGCAACAGTCACGCACTATGGAATAAACCGTCGGTAATAGGATGCAAACCCGACAAAACTGCGCAATTCACCCACAGACTTGGGGGTCGGCCAATCTCGTTTGCACTGTTTTGTCGGGGTCCATAGCTATCCCGAAAGCGCTCACAATGTCGCCCAAATATCGTACCGAGGATTGTAAAAATTATATTTAGCGGGATTAAATTTCAGGTTAGCTGAATGTACCCTGGAAAACACCACTCGCAACTGTTGCAATTGCTCCTCGAACGTACGACCTAACACAATAATGTCGTCCAAATAAATGAGGCACGAGTCCCATTGCAATCGTGCTAGAACCAACTCCATAAGCCTCTGGAATGCGGCAGGCGCCGAATGCAATAACTGAACTGATACAGTCCGTGAGTCGCTCGAAATGCAGTTTTTAGTTTAGATGACTCATTCAGGGGTAATTGCCAAAGCCCCGACAACAAATCCAATGTCGAAAAAAACGAGCGCCTGACAACACGTCCAGAGAATCGTCCACACGCAGAAGCCGATATGCAGCTGCCACCAAGACCTTGTTTAGTTTCCAAAAATCGACGCTGAACCTTAGACTCACATCCGATCTTTTCACCAGCACTACAAGGGCTCCCCAACGGCTGGTTGACAGTGAAATTATATCAGCCGCCAACATTTAATCCACCACCTGTTGTACATGCTCCTTTTCTACAGGACTCATACGGTATGAGTTCTGGCGAATAGGAGCTGCATCAATAGTATCAATATGGTGCTGCAGCAGCGAAGTACGGCCAATGTCAAACTTGCCCTTACTAAAAACGTCCGAAAATTGCAGTAGCAACGACCGCAATTTGCCCCATTGCACCTCAGACAAATCCGGATTTTCGTTGCACAGTGTTTCAGCCCATTTCCCATTCGACTTGGCCCTTTCCTCCACCGCACACGCAATATCCACCACCGCCAAGTCAACCACCTCGCAACACACAGCCGTTGCGTGAGCCAATACAGTACCCATCTGGACACAGCCATCCCTGCACCCACATTTAACACTTGCAGAAATGCCTCCTGGCTCATCCAAAGAATCGTCTGCGCGCTGTGTTGGATGGTGTAAGGAGGAATCCTGCATCAGGGTTGGCCAAATGTAATCGTTTGCGGTAATGCAAGGGGACCAACAGTTGCATGCCTGGCGGAATCACCACCGATTCCCTAACCAAGGCCTGGACTAGTATGTTCATATCTGACTCCTTACGAATGGAGTAAAAAAAAACAATCGCTGCCCTGACAGCATTACAATGCATTTCTGGTCCATCAAAATCTTAAGGAGCATTTTGCTCAAAAGTTGGTGCTCAACAGGCAAGGATCAGCCAGTGTTTTCGAAATCAAAACACGCCCCGACATTGCAATTTTCCCAATTCTTACACGTGCCTCGACATGCCCCATGATTCTAATGCTCCCTCCATTAGGTGCCACACATGCATTCACTACCGACATTAAATAATGACCATTTGACGGCAACGTCATACATCTTTTCTGAGATAATGGTGGCAGAGGCACCAGTGTTGATCAAAACGCGCACCTCTACCCCCTCAGCAGCCGCCACCACCCAGGGAGCCAACCTTATCCATTGAATGCCCGACTTGCGCCACCCGCCTGACAACTAAGGGATGGGGGGTGAAAATGAAACTTGGAACATGGGATGCCCTAGATGCTTGAGGTGATGTTTCGGCCCGGAAGTCTGGTGTGCCACGACTTGCCTGCTGTGGCTGTGGAGTGGTCGTTGGCGGAAAGGTGGATGCCGGCGATGTCGTCGTTGGTTGGGCGTCTGGCATCTCCGCGCGATGTGACCTGGCTGTCCGCACCGGAAACAGGCGATGGCAGGATCCCGCTGCGGAGGGGTCGCCTTCTCCCTCGGCCCCCAACCTTGATGCCGTCGTGAGGTCTTCCCTCACCGCCGAGCCCAGCCTTGCACCGCCACCGCCACCTCCTTCCCCAGCTCCGGATCCTCCTCTGTCGGTGCCCCCACACTCTCCGCTGACCGAGCTGTCGAGGCTTCGCCCAACACGGGCTCACCTGCCCATACCACCACTTAAGACCACCGGTTCATGCTTTCATGTGCCTGCAGGTACCTGGCCACCCACAGAGAGGTCTGCACCTCCTTCTCCACGATGGGCAGCACGACCCCCATCTCCTGCACCAACACCAGCATCTTCTCCATGGCTATTAAGTCCAGTGCTGTCTTGTACATTCGCATGTATGCTGCCTGATCGAGTGCCACTAACGTGCGATGGTAAGCGAGGGGCATCTCGGCCTCCCCCCGCCTCCGCTGCAGGAACTTCCTCCGCATGCTGGATGTAGGGTCAAACACGGCTGCCATCTCCCCATATGCCTCTTGAAGAGTGGCCCTTCGTCCCTGAGGCACGGCTTGGAATGCCGCGAGGGCATCGTCGTCAAGGGCAGTCAGCAAAGCCCTCAGTGCTTCCCCCTCCGCCAAACCTAATGCTTGATATGCTGCCTCATAACTCCCGGTGAAAGTGACCTAGTCACTTTCCACTGCCATGAACTCCTTGACGGGAGTCATCCGTCATGGACGGTCCACTGCTCTCTCTTGCGCCGCCGGAGCTGCAGCTGAATAGTGGCCGTCAATTGTGCAGTTTCCACGGCGGGAGTGATGGCGGACGTGGATCGTGCCGTCTCCACTATGGAAACGATTGCCGCTGTCAATCGTGCAGATCCCGCTGCAGTAATCATCTGCGTGCTGTCTATGGCTCTCCCTATCGCTGCAGCCATGCCCAACTGCAAGGTGAGCTGTGCGTCTGCCGCCAATAGTTGGTCAAGCCATCCCGCCACCTTGCTCCACCCCTCCATGATTTGTGGCTGCTATCGTTCGTCCCCTTCCCTCATCGTTGCTGCCGCAGCTTCTTCACCTGCGGGGTTGTTGCCCGGGACCCTGCCTCCCGGGGCTGACTGAAGTGGGGTCTCCTTCTCGTCCGCTCCCTTGTCTCAGATGGGGTTTTCCTCCAGTTATACCGTGACATGGTACCACCCCACATCTGACACCAGTTGTAACAACTCCAGTAGACACTGCTCTTGTGATCATCTTTATTGAAGACACATTCACTTGACAGGTTAAGACCCTGACTCCTTCAGGAGCCTTAAGCCTCTCCTCTTGACCACTTTTATCCCCAGCGTGGCCGTCCCTTGACCCTTGATCACGCCCCTTCTCTAGATCCTTCTGGATGGCTCTCGACCCCTGATCCGCAGCTGCTCCCTTCTATCACTTGGCCACAGCCCTTATTCTCGATCCTTTTCGTAGACCAAAGATCCTTCCCCTGTCTTTCCCTTAACCTGTCATTACCCCCTGTGGCCCCTAGTCTCTTTCCATGCTAATTCCCCTGTCATTACCCCCTGTGCCCACTATGTCAATTAACCTGTCATTACCCCTTGTGGCGCCTAGTCTCTTCCTTTGCTAATTCCCCTGTCATTACCCCCTGTGACCGCTAGTCCCCTGTACTGTCTTTACACATATTTGGCAGTTTTAGTCAAAATGACGATTAGGATGAATGTATCCAGGGGGAACAAATTAGAGGTGATACAGAGGTTGCAATCATGCATTCATATGGAGGCATCAAGGTCAAAGTGGGCGGCCAGGTGGTACAATGGAACAAGAGATTAGGCGGTCGATGATTACACAGGAGTCAAAGATGGGGAGTGTCTCGGCCTCACTGTGCGGTGTTGCACCACTATCCGAGTAGTTAACCTTGCATTCAATAAACTTTCAGAGCCAGGGTGAACATCCGACTCCAACATATTTAATGAATTGAGCGAGGTAAAACTGATGAAAAAACACAGCACAAAATACAGCATCTGTAAATACTTGGGATATCAATGCAATGAACACTGCAGCATCATAACATTGTCTTAGATAACATGAAACTCAAAAATAGGTCCTGGATGGACCAGGCATCTACATTAGCACTGAATAGCTATACAAGAGAACAAGCTACTGTGTTGAATAGGTTACTTAGTGTAATCACCATACTGCATCCTAAATGTACAGCACTACACATAACACTGACCTGTGGATGAGATACTTCTTCATCCTTGCTCTCAAGATCGCATTAAAGTTACATGGGTACAAGTCTGACTCGACTTATTCAACTACAAGTAACATTCACAATAATGCAAGTGGCAGGCATCATTGTTAACTAGGCCTCATATTTATCCTAACAATTTAACATCATTATAAAGGCATTTACAGCATTAAAACAGCAATCATAACATTAAAACAGCATTCCCAGTATTATAAGAACATAAACGAACTTACAGACATTGCTTCTTAAAGTCCCACAATGAACAGATGCACCTGTCTTCACTGAGATGCTATTTGTGCCTCCATTTTGTACTCTGTGCAATGGCTGACACCCTGCCTCATGGCTAAGAGAATGTTAAATCGTAACTTCCTGGTCACGTGACCAAACTCAACACCATATCAGGAAGTTCCTGTGTAATCAACACCCCCATACCTGCCGTGAGGCAGAACAGGGAAGATGGTGGCTTGGACTATTTCATTACTGGCCTGATGATCAATGGGAAGGACAAGATAACACCTAGATACTTAAAGTTATTGACCTGTTCACTGGGAGTCCAACGACAATGTTGAGGCAGGGAAATCTAGGTTTGAAGTATCCAGAAAACAATGTGACTTTGGTCTTCACAGCATGGTATATGAATTGATATAATCTATTGCACGCCCCTTGCAGGATTCCATGGTCCAGACCAAGGCTCGCATCTCAGGCGAGTTCACCCGCATGAGGGTGAGGCTGGATGAGGACGAGAGGGCAGCTCTGGACCGCGTGGACGTGAAGGGGCGTGCGCTGCTGTCCCAGATCGAGGAGAACATCGCTCATTATGAGCGCGAGATCAGCGAGCTCCAGGCAGCAGCCACGTGCCTGCGTACTCTGCAGAAGGAGAGGGACTCGCTCACGTTCCTGCAGGTAGAGCGCTCATGGAGCCAGGGCGAGTGCCCCAGTTCGCGTATATTCCTTGCATTTTTTTAATTGCTGCACATGCGATGCAACTCAACGCATGTTCTATACATTGTCAATACAATGTATAGCCCATGCATTCTGAAACTAAATGTAGAATCAAGTCTACCAACTTTAATTTGTATATTCTGATAAAAATATAAATTACTGCTGAAATTCCAATTAATTAAAAAACAATTAATCTCTCGAGTTAATTGGTTGGTAATGTATACGGACGTTAAAAACCATAACCTCATGGTCCTGTAATGTACAACAGATTGAGGCTACTTGACACTACAATTAATTATTCATGCAACCAAAGGTAGACCAACCATCAGTCACCCTTAAAATAGAAGTGCTCTAAACTTCAGGAAATTCAGGGGGCTTTGTTTTTCAGCACTGACTGCTGATGAGTCCAATGCGGAGATTGTCTGCTCCAACAAATGTTCACCCAGTGAAACTATTGACTCTGCTAATGCGACGCTCTGGGTGTAATTCACCCTTACAGTGCATACTTATTTTGAATGTTGGTTCACAATCACTGTGAATCGATATCGAGTGCCACGGATGCCTCTTCCTGTGACATCGGGTACCGAGTGGCAACAGTTTTAGAGGCCACACCTTTCTGATGAGAACCATCAAGTCCGAACGACTCCACGGCTTTTTCTTGTTTACAACCAACAACACTGGGATATCCGAATGGCTGAGCGCAGCCCAGCTCATCGCGTCTACCAATCACCGTGTGGTTAACGTGGCTGGAGGTGAACTGACTCGCGCCCCCTGCCCTGTGTCTGACTCCTGCAGATTCACCTGAAGGAGACCAACCGGTATGGACTCATGAAATCACACAAATCAACACATGGGGTGACGCCGTGTGTGGGACATGGGCTGCGTGATGATGATAATGTGTGTAATGATGATGTGTGGTATGATCCTGTGAGTGATGGTGTATGGTGATGATGTGTGGTATGATGCTGTGTGAAATTATACTGTATGGGACCTCTTTGCCTGTATCATAGTGTAGTGACTGACTCAGAGACACTAAGAGTAGGAGGCACTCTAATTATTAAACGGCCTTAACAGTTCACACTTGGTAACTACGATTCCCAGTCAGGACAGCTGGCAGACTGCCTGACTGGCGACGCTGAGATGGTGAAGACGGAGACGAAGAAGACTCCAGCAGCAGCACGACGGGAACCCACTCCACACGACAGCCACCGAGGTCCCCTCCCGGGGCCCCTCTTATACTGTCAGCGTGGCCTGGCTCCACCCTAGCCACGCCCCCCTTCTGGAACCTACTAGCAGGTTCTCGATGTGTCCCTTTCGTGATCCTTCCCCTACATCCGTCTCTGGTCTATCACGTGACCTGTTGTCATTCAGGGCTGCTGTAAGCTGAAGATTCCCTTACCTGCCAGGAGCCAGTGCTATGCTATGTGACCGATTCTATGTTACTACAATAGTATACAAAATAAGAATAGGTTTTACCCTATCTGACAATAATACAGGTGTTAAGCTGTTCAAACAGCAATATATACTTTTGGCAAGGACTCAAATCTGCATTAAACCCCACGTACTTGTGAGGAACATGCAAACAACCATGCTCACTGTTCGCCGTTTGGCGTTCTCTGGTCTGAGACTGGTGAGGCTCGGCCATAAAGAAGGCTGTCTCTGTTATAGGCCAATCAGTTTCAAAGACATTGCATCAAATATAATTATCGGAGAATGTTTGTTTGCATGTTCCCCACAAGTACGTGTGGTTAATGCAAATTGTATTCCTTACAAAATATATCTATTTGGTGTTTGAACATCAGAGCACCTAGTTTATTGCCAGAAAGGGCAAAAACTATTTTTATTTATCACAAGATGATGCTGGGTAAAACACGGGCTGAGTGATGATGCTGTGAGTGATGATGCTGTGAGTGATGATGCTGTGAGTAATGATGCTGCTGTGATGATGCTGTGAGTGATTATGCTGTGAGTGATTATGCTGTGAGTGATGATGCTGTGTGATGATGCTCTGTGATGATGCTGTCTGTGTTGGTGCTGTGTAAGACACGGGCTGTGTGAGTCACTGCTGGTTCTGGTCTCACAGGAGAGACACTCAGAAAGGATCTCCACCCTCATCTCCCAGTGAAGAAGACATCGCCTCGATTAGCGCCCTGCAGAAAGCTGTGGTGAACCTGCTGGCATTCATGTGTGAGTTCCACAGACTCTTTCCACGTATGTGTCTGTTATTGTGATGTACTTTGGCTTGTACATGTATGTTGCGGAGCAGTAGTGTCGTGGTTAGTGCGCTGCGCTACAAACCTGGCGTCCCGAGTGTGAATCCCGTTCAAGGCCAACACCACTGATGGGTTATCTGAACCGGTACTGGACCTCCCGTAGGTCGACTCAGCCTCAAAGGAGTATCTGGTGTGGTGTAAACATTACCACTAGGGAGACAAAGGCGGCCTGACGTGGTGCTGGCCACTCACCCTCTCGTGTGCCGTGCGGGCCTTCATAGGTGCTTACTAACAGCACTTGCCCCAAAAGTCTGTTGAGGATATGCGGGGGTATCATGTCTTTGTAATAGTGTATAGATCTATATTGAACTTCTTCCACACCAACCGTGCTAATCGGAGGTGTATGGGTGTATGGATGAGCGAGAGTGAGTACGGATGTCCAGTGAAGATGAGATGGTTTGTGCACTGAGATACAAACATCGTCACCAACAGGCTATTCACAGCCATGGCTAACATCAGTGGTGAGTGGATTCAGAACCAATTTTGGAGCTCTCCTAGGTCCATTCATCCTTGATGAGTACGTAGGACGTCTTGTAAAGATCACCAATGTAGACACAAAGGCAGCCTGTAGGATTTGTATGGTTCAATGATAAAGCCTGTGGTTTTTAGAACTAGATAACGGTACGTTTAGGAATCGTATGGTTGATTGTTAATACCCAAGGAGCATGCGTCCAGACTAATACACTTTTAGGAGTCTTAGGCTTCATGTTAACAGTTTGATGCACAGAGTTAAACGAAGGCACTTTTGGAATTCTTAGGTCCCCCAGTTAATGGCTGATTCTCACAGAGACAGACTAAGGCATTACCATGGTCAACCTTGTCTATCACTCACTGTACATGCAAACATAAACATTACGACTATAATGAATTCATAAGACGATACTATATAGTACACACACGAGTGTATTACACTATTACAAGTACTCCTTGATATTACACGCGTGTATTATCCAGTGAGCAGATTAATCTTTGACTATAAGTCTTCTTTGTGATGGATGTCATCATCAGACTCGAGCCAGACTACATCACCGTTGTGATGGGTAAGATTCATTGTTAATGCTGTAGACTGATAACCAGACTAAGGCAGCCTTAGGATTCTCAGGATTCATTCATATTTTTTAGGCTGCTATATCCCTACTATGGCTGATATTCTTAGGATTGATTATTAGTATTTGACACTCGATATCCAGACTCAGACAGAGTTATGATTCTTAGGGTCCGGTGTTAATGCCGAAAGCTCTCAGAATCAAAGGCACCTTTAGGATTCTGCGTTAACATTCGATGTTTATTAGACATCCAGACCAAGGTTTAACCTTGGTTGACCGTCTAAATCACTACAAAGGAAAAAAGGTAAATTACAATAAAACATGCCAATATACCTACACATTAATATATAGAACACACAAACACACATGAGTGTAAATCACTATTACTCGAGCTCTATTAACACTACACGTGTGTATTATTGAGTGAGAATGCAATTGCTATTCTGCGTGAGACACACACGCTTTGGATTCTTATGATTCGTAATTAGTGCTTCAGGCAGCGAGATACAGAATCGGACACCTTGAGGATTCTCAGGATTCAGTGTTACAGCCTGAAGCTCTCAGAATCAATTGCAACTTTAGGTTCTATTAGACAGCTAAACCAAGGCAAAAACTGAGTTGCCCGTGTAAATCACTACAAAGGCAACAACTAAGAACACGGAACAATATCTACCGATAGGTTTATATAGACAGAGATCCCCCGTATGGCCTTAACTGACTGTAGGGGCAAGTGCTGTTAGCGAGCTCCTATGAAGGCCAGTACCACGCCCGACCGCCTTTGTCTCCCCAGTGGCGATGTTTACACACCGCAGTCATTACTACACCAACACACACACGAGTGTACATCACTACACTATCACACACACGAGTGTACATCACTACACTATCACACACATCCAGAGTGTACATCACTACACCATCACACACACCCAGAGTGTACATCAACAACAACAACCGCCATTCGCCACTAAGTGGCGGTGACGTCACCACGACGCTTGTGCCAGGCTATGTGCACCTTGAGGCCACGTGAAGTGTCGAACGCCCGCTGGCAGGAGGCCACGGGGCAGACCCAGGTGCCACGGGTCGACTGACTGAGATGACTGGCTGATGCACCACCTGTGCCCCCTACTGTGCCAACCTGCTGTGCTTTAGCCACCCGGCGCTCCGCTCGCTGTTCTGAGCGAACATCACTACACTATCACACACACACGAGTGTACATCAATACACAATCACACACACCCAGAGTGTACATCACTACACTATCACACACACACGAGTGTACATCACTACACTATCACACACACACACGAGTGTACATCACTACACTATCACAAACACACACTAGTGTACATTACTACACTATCACACACACACGAGTGTACATCACTACACTAACACACACACACGAGTGTACATCACTACACTATCACACACACACAAAGGAGTGTACATCACTACACTATCACACATACAGGAGTGTACATCATTAAACTATCACACACACAGTATACATCACTACACTATCACACATACACATGAGTGTTCATTACTACACTAACACACACACACGAGTGTCCATCACTACACTATCACACACACACACACGAGTGTACATCACTACACTATCACACACACACGAGTGTACTTCACTACACTAACACACACACGAGTGTACATTACTACACTATCACATACACGAGTGTACATCACTACACACACACACGAGTGTACATCACTACACTATCACACACACACGAGTGTACATCACTACACTATCACATACACACACACGAGTGTATATAACTACACTATCACACACACATGAGTGTTCATCACTACAACAACAACAACAACAACCGCCATTCGCCACTAAGTGGCGGTGACGTCACCACGACGCTTGTGCCAGGCTATGTGCACCCTGAGGCCACGTGAAGTGTCGAACGCCCGCTGGCAGGAGGTCACGGGGCAGACCCAGGTGCCACGGGTCGACTGACTGAGATGACTGAGATGACTGGCTGATGCACCACCTGTGCCCCCTACTGTGCCAACCTGCTGTGCTTTAGCCACCCGGCGCTCCGCTCGCTGTTGTGAGCGTCGCTCCTCCGCCCTCCGTTGTTGTTGGAGGGCGACTGCCTCCAACTGCCCAGTAGCATCCTTCACGAGCCTCCTCCACAGAGGCCGATCTTGACACCGCTGGTACCAGTCATCGGCAAGTCCACTCAGCTCCACGTCCTCCTGTACCACATCACTCCATCTCCTCTCTAGCCCGTGCCGCGCCCGCTTAGCCCCCTCAATCCGGCCAAACAAAAGCTGTTTCGGCATGCGGTGGCTGGGCATGCGGGCTACATGACCCAGCCATCGCAGCCTTGCCTGCCGGAGGAGCTCACCGATGGGACCCTGCCCAGATCTTTCAAGGATTTGTGAGCTCCTCACACAATCCAGTCTGGTTAAACCCAGGATGGATCGTAGGCAGGTCAGCCTAAATGTTTCTAACCGGCGAAGATGTTCCATTAGGGGGGTCCACGTTTCGCAAGCGTAGAGAAGGGAGGGAATGACCGTGGCCGAGAAGACCTGAAGCTTAGTGCGGAGCGACAGACCAGGTAGCTTCCACACAGCGTTACGCAACCGATGAAAAGATATTGCCGCTCGACTGATTCGGAGTGAGACCTCTGCTGTTAAACTGGAGCCAGTCATAAGCACACTGCCCAGGTATGGGAAACTCTCCACTCTCTCCACAACTGCCCCATCACCGATTGGGAGTTGTGGGGGTGGAGTGTCCGATGGTACAAAATACCCAGGCAGGTGCTTAGTTTTGGTGGGGCTGATGGTAAGGCCCCACCTCTTAGTGGCACGCTCCAGTCTCAGCAGCAGCGTCTGCAACTCCTCCTCTGACTGAGCAGCTATTACCAAGTCATCAGCATACATAACGTGGTTGAGCAATAGGGAGCCATCCCTTGACCGCACCCGGGCATCGATTAGCCTCCCATTATATCTGTACCATATGGAGATTCCCCCGGTACAGCTATTGAAGGCTTCACGAACTACGTGGTCAAAATAGATGTTAAATAATGTGGGAGCCAGAGGACATCCCTGTCGCACCCCAAGGTGTACAGGGAATGGCTCTGACTCCCGGCCACGTAGTTTTACCCGGGCCCGCTACACTCACACACACACACACGAGTGTACATCGCTACACTATCACACACATACACACGAGTGTACATCACTACACTATCACACACACACACACACGATTGTGCATCACTACACTATCACACACACACACACGAGTGTACATCACTACACTATCACACACATACACACACGAGTGTACATCACTACACTATCACACACTCACGAGTGTCCATCACTACACTATCACACACACCCAGAGTGTACATCACTACACTACCACACACACACACACGAGTGTACATCACTGCACTATCACACACACCAAGAGCGTACATCAATACATTATCACAAACACACGAGTGTACAGCACTACACTATCACACACACGAGTGTACATCACTACACTACCACACACACACACGAGTGTACATCACTGCACTATCACACACACCAAGAGCGTACATCAATACACCATCACACACACACACGAGTGTACATAACTACACTATCACACACACACACGAGTGTACACCACTAGACTATCACACACACACCAGTGTACATCACTACACCATCACGCACACAAGTGTACATCACTACACTATCACACACACAGAGTGTACATCACTACACTATCACACACACAGAGTACATCACTACACTATAACACACACACACGAGTGTACATCACTACACTATCACACACAGAGTGTACATCACTACATCATCACA